TGAGGAGACTGAGAGTAAAACAAGGGAAGTACCAGGAACATCTCCACATTAGAACAAACCGGACACAAGGCAGGGCAAGGGCAAGGTGTGTGAACCCAGAAGAGTGAGGGGGGAGGAGCCCTTGGTGCTGCAGAAAATCCCAGAATCACACCGGGAAGGGACCTTGGAGACAACCTGTCCCACCCCACAGTGTCGAAACCACTCCTCAGTCCCTCGCTTCAGGGACAGGGGCCCATTGCTGCTGAGCCCATTGTGGCATTCTAGGGGGGCATGGGCAGCCCCTGAAATGTTCCCTTGGCGCCTGGCCTCAAACACACCAGGAAAAGGCAGCCCTGAGTCCAGGACAGCCATCATGGGTTATCCCAACTGCTCCTGCACATCCTTCACACGCACATGTGTGTGCACACACACCCCACCAACAGAGAGTCTATATGCCGATTGATCCAGCCCTGGAGTGCTTCTGCCCTGCCCTCTGGTCCCTGGTGTGCAGGTCACTTGCCTCAGCTATGGAGGGCTAACGGGGTCTCAGCCTTAACTTGTACAGAGCGGAGCACCTGCTCCCCACTGGCCGCCTCTATACCCAGGCTTCCTCGTCTCAGTTCACTGCAGCTCCTCCCTTTGAGTTGCTCAGACTAAAATCCTCAGAATCACCCTTGCTTCCTCTACCTGTCTCAAGTCCCACATCAAATCTGTCCGCAAACCAAATCGGCTCTGCTTTCAGAATCTGTCCAGAATCAGACCACTTGTCACACTGTCAGCCTGTCCGAGCCACCTCCATCCTCACCTGGAAAAGCAGGCTCCCTGCTCTCCCTCTGCTTCCTCATTCACCTACTCTTTCTTCTCCACATGGCAGCCTGAGCGATGCTTTCACAGCATGAGTCCAGTTACCTTCTCAAAGCCCTCCAGCGTCTCTCTGTGCTACTCAGAGTGACAGCGGGGGCCTCATGTTGGTCTACAAGGCTTGGTTCCCAGACTCCACTAAGGAATGTGGGCTCATCCCCTCCAGAAGAGGGGAGCTTCCCAGAAGAGGGGCATGGTGCTGCTCCTGGTAGGGCAGGGAGAATGTGGACAAGGAAAAGGGAGGAAGGACACCCAGGCCCAGAGGAGGATGGGATTGAAGGCCTGGGTGAGGGGGAGGGGCAGCTCAAAGGGATAGAGCTTTGGGAAACAGTGGGAGAGATTCCTGGGAGAATCAGGGTGTTCAGTAGATGAAGACATTGGACTTCTACCCTGTGGACAACGGCAGAACTCCTGAAGGTGTCTGGGCAAAGGGCTGATGTGGTCACAAATGCTCTATTTCATAGGCCGACAGGGCCGTCACCCAAAGATGGAGGAGAAGGCCCAGAAGAACAATTAGAAGTCAGCCGGCAGGTTGTATGAAAGGAACACTAATTTGGGTGTCCAGAGAGCTCTGCCCCAGTCCCAGTGTCACCACTAATCATACTGGTGATGTTCAGTAATACCAAACCACATCTCCTCCCTCTTGGCCCAATGGCACCTGTCATCGAGTCCCAGAATCACAGAGCTGCCAGGCACCTCAGAGGTCATCTAGTCCAGATTTCCAAACTCCGGCCTGGGAAATCAATTTACTGAGGTAAGAGTGTTTTTAAAATGAAATAGAAGAGAAGGGACTAGGTCAGAGTGCACTGCTTGTAGTAAAGATAAAATTGCTTTATGAAACTTTTGTTTTGAGTGTGTGTGTTGGTTCAAAATATAAATCCACTTCCGTGGGTCACGGTAATGAATGTTTGAAATTCACTGATAAAGTCCACTCCCTCTGCCCTGTGTGAACTGTGTTTACAGCATTCTCAATAAAATGCACGACCTCTCTTGTTCATCTCTGGGAATAGGATGACGACCCCTCTCAAGGCAATGCTCTGTGCATCAGAAGCACTTCCTCACGCTGAGCTCAGATTTGCCTTTTGTCCTCCTGTCCATTGGTCTTCCCCAGTTCTTTGACCATCTTCCCCCAAATAAACCCAGTCTGACTTCAGATAACCGCATTGAAAGAATGGGAGACAAGTTTACAGGCCTCTTGACTGTGTTCTTTCAAGGCACTAAGCTCATGTATTTCTCATGTCTGCCCGGCACCTCTTCTCTGGGAAGCACGATCCGGGAGCTCATTCTGGGTGACCACCTCCCAACTCATAATCTACTCAGTTTCAATGGCCAGAACCCCAACCCCTGGCTCCAGAGATGGCCAGTGTGAGCGCCACATCCCCTTGGTCGTAGGGACTTGGCTCCAGGGCAGGAACACGGTCCAAGCAGAGACAGAGACAATCAGGGACTTTCGCTGAAACTATTAGAACAAATGATACAGTGCTAAGACGGTGGACTATAAGCCCAGAAGTGCAATGACCATCTTTGCCAAAGCCTAGGGAAAATGTGTCACTGAATGAAGCCAACACCGAGGAAACTAAAGGGGATGGAGAAAGAAAGCAAGAGCAAGAGAGAGAATAATAGTTGCTGTGATGGGCTGAAATGTGCTCCCCCCACCCCCCGCCCAATTATGTTGAAGTCCTAACCCTCAGTACCTCTGAATGTGACTTATTTGGAAACAGTGTCTTCACAGAGGCAATGAAGTTAAAATGAGGTCATGAGGGTGGGCCTTCAACCAATATGGCTGATGTCCTTATAAGAAGGAAAGGATTTAGACACACAGACAGATGTGCAAGGAGAGAAAATGCTGTGAAGACACACAGGGAGAATTCCACATGAAGACAGAGGGCTGGAGTGACACATCCGCAAGACAAGGATCTCCAAACATGTCTGGCAAACTTCCAGAAGCTCGGAAGAGGTAAAGAAGGATTCCCCTACATTTCCAGGGGGACTGTGGACCTGCCGACATCTTGATGTCCCGCATCTGGAACCGCAAGACAGTACATTGCTGTTGTTTGCCACCCAGTTTGTGATGCTTTGTCCCGCCAGCCCCAAGACACTAGCACAGCTGCATATACTTATAGAGCACTTACCGTGTGTAAGCATTTTACATACATTAACCTACTTAATATTCACAGCCCTATAAGGTAGTACTGTTTTTACCCCCGTTTTACAAATGAAGAAATGGAAGTACAAAGATGTTAAGTAACTTGCCCATGGTCACTTAGCTTATAAGAGGCAGGGAAAGGATTCGAATGCAGGCATTGGCTGACCATTAGGCAATACTGCCTCTCAAGAGAGGTAGTGTCTTGATGACGCTGTGGAGGCTCTGGATCCAATGGCTAGAAGCCAATTACAGGAGCCAAGAAATATCCAGAGCTCAAGTTCTTTTGATTTGGGTTTCTGCTGCCGACGAACCCACCCTGGAGGCATCCCAGCTCCGTAGAGCTTTGTTCTACAGCCTGGTTCCCAGATGCTTTGTCATCCTTACCGTCTTCACCCCCCACCCCCATTCCCTGTACACTGCCGCCAGGGGGTGGCCTTCTTGATTCCTTGCCTTAAAACAAACCAAGGTTCTTAAAAATGACACACTGGCTCTCTGGTTGGTCCTCAAGGACCAAAAGGCAGAGAGTGGCTAGCAAGGAGCAGCAAGAGGGCTGAAGGGAGCTTTCTGAAAAATTCATTAGGGAAATTCTCCCTCCTAAGTCTAAGGCAGAGAGAAGTAGAAGAAAGAGGAATGAAGCCAAACATGCAAGAAATTCATATGGGGCTTTACAGGGGACTGGGCATGAACAAAGATTTGAGGGTTGACTGGGAGACATGTAAAAGAGAGGGGAGGAGGAGGGGGGGAGTGGAAGGAGGGGAACAGGGAAGAGGGAAAGAGGAGGGGGAGGAGGAAGAGGGCTAGGAGGAGGGGGAGGAAGTGGAAGGGGAGGAGAGGGAGGAGGAGGGAAAGAGGGAGGGTAAGGGGGAAGAAAGGGAGGACAAGAAAGAGGGAAGGGAAGGGAGAGGAAGAGGAGAAAGAGGATGCCTCTCCAGTGTCTCCCGTTCCCACATGCCTCTCCAGGTCCAGTCAACCATCTCTCTCTAAGCATCTCTCCAATCTGGCCCTTTATCTCCTACAAGAAACCTCACGACTGACAAAATCTTGTGAACAGATAGTTAAAGTGCTCCAAAGGAAGGGAGGCTTCCAATGAGCAGTAGAACTTTCCAGTCTAGAGCTGAGAGAACACAAGGTCACACTCCAGAGAACCCAGAGAGCCAAGGAAGAGGTATGGGAAACTGACCATCAGCCCCAGACCCAGCACTTAGGAGGCAGCCTGTAGCAGGTGAAAGATAGTTTCAGGCCAAAATAAAAAGTGCTAGGAACAAAAAATGGGTGATAAACTTCGATAACAGGATCTCTTGCTTTCAAATTGCAGCATGTTGAAGGATTTAGAGAGTCTCAGAGGCCTCTGATGTGAGATGGTTTGGTAAAGCTTATTGGTCTTAACGCTGACAGCAGAGAGGGACGGATATAGACCAAAGTGGGAAAGAGGTAGGAAACTGAAAGACAGGACGGGAGCCAGAAGAGAGGGACAGGAAATACAGAGAGGGGAGAGGAGAGACAGAGTGGAAAATGAAAGGGGAAGAGAAGACACGGAAGGGTCAGGATGGAGAGAGAACTGGTGGGGGACTGGCAGAGTGACAGGTGCCATCATTTGTGGGGCAGAGGTGCCCGGACGAAAGAAAGGGCCCACTGACCGCAGCCCAGGGCACCTGGAGAGCGGCCTCGGATCCCGCAGGAGTGGCAGAGGAGGCCAGGAGGCCGACACATGCTGCTAATAAATGACTCTCGCAGTTGATAACCCTCGTTAAACAGAACTTCACAAATGGCTTAATTTGAATTTCCAATACTTGATAGATTTCAAACCCAGGACAATTATCTTTGAGGTAAAGGATCAATAAACAGTTCCCTGGCCTGAATCCCCCAAAAAAGGGGACGCTTCCAACAGGGTTGCTAGGATTAAAACTCCTTCAAATGCCGAATAAACACTGACTTATCTCTTTTTAAAGAACTTTTCTGTAAGGCAAAGGTTAGCTTTGTAAGGAAAGGCTGGATGAAAATTAATCTAACTTACGGTGACCTCCTCGAGCTGGGTTTGAATTACATTTCCACATGGCCTGTGAAGATCTTTCACGTCTCTCGCTCCATTAGTTGGTGTACTTAGCAAAGGTCAGGTAATGAGCAGACGTACTTTCCAGTCCAGAACATGATCCTGCCACACGGCCCCTTCCACCTTCCTGGCGTGTCTCTGTTGGAGGTCACCGGTCTGGGTACGAGCCATCTTTGCGATGCCTCATCCTGAAGGCTCCTGAGAACGATGGACATTACCATTGTCACCACAGCTCTGGGATGTCAGAGGTCTCACATGGTTCCCCATGCTCTGGGGCTGAGAGAATTTAATAGAGGCCCTCAAGTTTCTTATACTCACAAGGGGAAATTCACACATCCCTTTCAGGGAACTGCTCTGTTTCAACCTGCTAACTAAATGTCAAAAGAGGGGAGGGAAGGAACTGGAAAAGGAAGCCAGTGTGATAAGAAAGCTTCATATGCCCCCAAACCCAGAGTCTTCTGTCTTTTGGTCTCATCCATGGCAGGTTCACATTCGCATGGGTCCCTGAGCTTCTCTGTTCATTTTGTTCCTTTACCCTCAGAGTGGGATCAGAATTCACTGCTTTCAGAAGATGGCCAAAGAGCCTAAAGGAAGCATGCGCTGGATAACAATAATACACACTCATAGTCCTTCTGCAGGAGCTGGACCTCCCTGTTCTGAGAACATAAAGAGATGAATTGGGTCAGACCTTGCCCCCAAGGACTTTAAAATTGTGGAGTAACAGATGTGTATGTCATTGACTGGCACACACGGGCACTAGAGATGCCTGTCATGGCCTCCCCACACCCATCAACCTCCTGAGAGACTATGCCTCCAGGTTTCCTGGGGCTGGATAAGAATGTTCAACCTGTTTAGGAAATGAAATTCAACTTGTTCTCTTTCTTTCTCTCTTTTGAGCTCTCCCCCGTTCTCTATCACTTGCTATATCATAAGGCATCTAACCACCTACTTGGCCATGTTTTCTCTAGCCCCTTCCCTACTATCATTGTGGAAGTTGTACATTCTACTCCCAGTCTTTCAGTGTTGACCCTTTAAACATTTGAGTGCTTGTTTAACTGTATACTTTGCTAAAAGCTTAAAGGGAACTGGTATCTTTATCCTCCTGCCCTCATATTCCCCACACTCCAGACTTCTTGGTCTAGAATGGAAGCCTGTTTGCAAACACGAGAAAGGCATTGCAGCTGTTCTCCACTTGATAGCCATGTGGAGCAGTAAGGAAGGTGTGGTGGGAACTGAGGAGACTTTGGGGAGCCACCAGAGGGGAGCTGCTGGGTCCCAGGCAGGACACCAGAGCCAATCACAGATGGCTGCCCAAGAGTGGGCTGTGGCCAGGGCAGTGCTGGGTGGTGACTGCAAGAACCCAGGCACAGCCTGAGGGCCAGGTGGCTCTGCCCAGAAGCCCTCCACTCTTCCTGAGAGAGAAACTTCAGGCCACCCACTCCCTGAACCCTGGTCACCAACAGCCCAGTGATTGAGCAAGGGAGAGCCTTTGCCCAACTCATTGCGGGGCTCCCCCTTGGAGGACACCTCCCCACATGCCCCAGGGCCCCAAGCAGGGAGTGGGAAGGGGCTCCCGTGCTCTTCTCTGGGGTGAAAACTAGCACACTGGAGCACCCCAGCCTGGGAGGGCACGACGGATATTCCTGCTACACGCACTCGAGGGTTCCCAGCTCTCCCTTTTCCTTCCATTCTTTGCCTTTCATTTAACTGAGCCGAGAATCATGCCGGTGACAAACCCTCCCACAGGCAAGAGAAACTGAGATGAGACCTGAAATCGGACAAAAGCCAGAACCAGAGCCTGCAGCCTTGGCAGGTCCTCAAATCCCAGAAAGCCCTTCAGAGGATCTACCTGAGGTTCCCCGCATCTGGCCAGCCCGGCTGCTTACATTTGTTATTCTTCTGGAACCAGCTAGCCAAACGAATAGAGGGTATTTTTCATTCCCTACTCAGGACCTAGAGTGAGCTTTTTATTTTTTTTTATTTTTTTTATTTTTTATTTTTTATTTATTTTTGAGACAGAGCGAGACAGAGCATGAACGGGGGAGGGGCAGAGAGAGAGGGAGACACAGAATCGGAAACAGGCTCCAGGCTCCGAGCCATCAGCCCAGAGCCTGACGCGGGGCTCGAACTCACGGACCGCGAGAGCGTGACCTGAGCTGAAGTCGGCCGCTTAACCGACTGAGCCACCCAGGCGCCCCTAGAGTGAGCTTTTTAGAATGTAGATTGGGTCTTATCCTTCCCCTTTATAAAGCCCCTTGATGGCTTCTCACCCCAGCCCCCTTAAGACAAAATCCAAATTCCTTACCGTGCCTCACAGGGCCCCGTGTGTGCTGGCTTCTGGCTGCCTGAGGACATGCTGTCCTTCCCTTTCTTTGCCACCCCAGCCCCGCACGGCCACTCTGCGCTCCCTGAACTGATGGTCTCCGTCTCCTTGCCAGCTCTCACCCTTCGTACAAGCTGGGCCCTCGGCCTGGAACACCCCCTCTCCTCTTGCCCCAGCTCACCCCTGGCTTGTTTCTTCTCATTCTTCAAATTTCAACTTAAATGTCACCTCCTTGGAGAAGCCTCCCTCTCCAACCACCCGCTGAAATGAGGCATCACCACCTCCCTCTCTTTGTAGCACTTCCCCTAACGGTGATTTGCTTCTCTTCTTGTTTATCCTCAGTCTCGCCCCACAAGGCTGCAAGTTCCACTGAAAAGGACCCTGCCTTGTTCACTACTGTTTCCCCAGCACCTAGAACAATGCCAGGCTACCCATAGGCTACTCAGTAATTATTAGTGAAATGAATGAGTGGATTTATCAAATAAGCATTTATTGAGCGTTCCAAGGTTGCGGTGAAGAATGAGTGAGGCAGTACTATGCAAATATGAATGGCTCTCATTGTCAGCATCATCACTATTTCTAGCCGAGATGAACGTGCAGACCTGAGCATGGGCCAACCACCAGCCAGTTTTGCCAGGCTGGTTATTTCCAGCACAATCTGGACAACAGCAACCACTGAAAAGGTCAAGGTTTCACCACACTTGGCACAACAAGGATCATTTACAGTCCGATCATTTGGATTAATTTCTTGACTTTGGTTTGATCTGTTTTTGTCAAGCAAGCAAATATATATTGATATTTGCAAAAAGCTTCCCTGCATGTGGTGCCCACTAAAATATGGCTGCATTTTCCATAGTAATTGTCTCTAGAAGCTCATTCCCAGCTGCGCTGGCTCATTTAGCTAATCTGCAGTAAGTATGGTATTGATCCAAGCAGCAAGGGAGGAGCACATTAGCCTGGCCCACAGAAGGGTCATTACTTTGGCTGCATGGTCACTTTACAGACTTGGCTGCAGACTAAAAGCCACCCCGAGAAATCAGCCTTCTGCTCTGACCTCACCCCAAGCACCACCGTACTTACTCACCCAGGCAGTGGCAACTGAGCTGGCCACAAGGAGAAAGGCAATGTGATGACAACATTTCAAGGAGACCCTATCACTCCCAAGAAAGAGCTCCTATCATTCATTCTTTTCATTCATAACTGACAATATCTTCTAAAAATGGTAATACTCAATGCTCGCCAAGATGCATTAAAATTGATATTTTTATATGCTGTTATATATGCCTACAAATGTCCAGAAATAGGGGATTGGTTAACTGAATAAGCTACTGCACATATTTTCAAAGAATACTCGTCAGTCATGGGAAAGTATGTGTGATTTATGAAGTGGGGGATGGGGAGGAAGCAGCTTTCAAAACAGTGTGGACATTTTGTACACCATCATCCCAAAGTATTTAAAACTAAATTTGCACATATGCATAACAAAATTACTGGATTGATGAAAGAGGTGGTGGATGCCCAGGGAAAGGTATAATTCTCTATCTTATCTGTATTTGAAATATTTCACAATAGGGGCACCTGGGTGGCTCAGTCGGTTAAGCGACCAACTTCGGCTCAGGTCATGATCTCGCGGTCTGTGAGTTCGAGCCCCGTGTCGGGCTCTGTGCTGATGGGTCAGAGCCTGGAGCCTGTTTCAGATTCTGTGTCTCCCTCTCTCTGACCCTCCCCTGTTCATGCTCTGTCTCTCCCTGTCTCAAAAATAAATAAAACGTTAAAAAAATTTTTTTAAAAAAAGAAATATTTCACAATAAAAAAGTGAAAAAAAAAAAGATTGAATACATACATGCCAAAATATTGACAGCAGATGCAGGATCCCAGATTGTTTTTATTTTCTTCGGAAAGAGTGTCCATATTTTTCAAATTTTCTTAAATACACTTGAATTCTTTTTAAGATTTCCTCCCCCCCCCCCCAAAAAAAAACCAATAAAACTTCCTTTACAAATAAAGCAACCGTCACACATGGCACCCAGTTGGTTAGTGCTTACATGTTCAGGGTCTGGGAAGGCGTGATGGAGGAAAGAGCTAGCTGGGGAAGGAGAACAGGTGTCCCAGGAAGGAAGAACGCTCTAAGGCAGGGAAATCCATTGTTTGGAAAAGTTGGTGGATCCTCTTATTTGGCTGATTAGAACCCGTGAAAGGTAGACCAGACTAAAAGGGTCTGGAGGATCCAGAATCAGAGGACTGGGGGCCATAAAAGGGAGGTGGGGAGGGACCTGAGGGCACTGGTGTGCAGAAGAGCTCTCTGTGTTAGAATGGTCACCGCAGGCTGGAGCAGAGGGTGTTGGATGGCCACACTACAAATACGGCATCCGGTAGAGAGGCTAGAATATGGCCAGGTGGAAATAAGTGGGCCAAGCCCGGGGCAGTGGCAGTCCGGCCACCCAAGGAACATTCCCCAAGGTCCAGCACAGGTTCCCTGGGGAGGCGATTAAGAGCTCCAGCTGAGGGGCCAGATTGCCTGGTTTGATCCTGGCTTTACCACTCACTAGCCGTGTGACCAGAGGAAAGGACAAAACCCTTCTGTCCCCCAGGGTGTTCATCTGTATAGTGAAGATAATAATACGCTATCACAGAGCTGTTGAGAGGATGAGTCGATAGATGTGAAGCACTTGTGAACAGGGCCTCATATAGAGCAGCAGTACAGGTTAGCTGGCATTATTTCCTCCCACCGGAAGTCCACCCACAGTGCCCTGTGCCACAGTAGCATGTTGCGTACAGGACCATCTGAATCAGCAACGGGCATAAGCCAAGGCACAGTGTGTGGGCTCTGTCACTCCAATCCTCCCCAAAAAAGTTGTCAAAAGAGTTAAAGTGT